CCTACTCTCTCTCCACTTGTCATCCTGTCAAGTTGCATGAGTGAAGGCAACCCAAAAAGACCATGCTACATATCAAATCAAGTACATACCAAATATAGTTATAGGCTTAGACACGTAATCCAACACTTTACCACGCTGGTAAAGCAAATGTCGTAGCTGATGCTCTGAGTCGAAAAGTAAACCTGGAAAGAAAAAGGCCAAGAGCGTTAAGAATAGAAGTTGTCTCAACAATTGTGGAAAGCATTAAGAAAGCTCGGGAAGAAGCTTTGGAGAAAAATAACCGAAAGAAAGAACGTTTAGGCAAAACGTTGGTATTTGGTACAAATAATTAAGGATTGAAGTTATTCCAAAACAGGATTTGGGTGCCTAAGATGGGAGGAATAAGAGATCTTATGGTGGAATAAGCTCACAATACCATGTACTCGATTCATCCCGGCAGCACTAAGATGTATAGGGAACTGAAACCATACTACTGGTGGTCGACGATGAAGCTCAATGTTGCGAAGTATGTGGCGGAGTGTGTAACATGTGCAAGAGTTAAAGCACAACATCAGAAACCATATGGGAGTTTAGAACCTTTGCTTGTACCCATGGGTAAGTGGGAAGACATCACCATGGATTTCGTGACTAAACTACTCAAAACGAAGAACGGTCACGACATGATTTGGGTAATTGTCGATCATTTCACAAAGAGTGCACACTTCATAGCAGCCAATGAGAGATAGTCTATGGATAAGCTTGCAAATGCCTACGTGAAGGAGATAGTAAGACTTCACGTCGTTCTCTTAACGATTGTATTGGATCGTGACAGTCGTTTCACATCAAGATTTTGGAAGAGTCTACAAGAGGAAATGGGTACGAAGTTGTGTTTAAGTACAACCCACCATCCGTACACTGATGGTAAGAGCGAAAGGACAATTCAAACACGAGAAGATATGTTAATGTTTTTGCTGAAACATGTTGGATTCGAAATTTATTTCGTGAACTTTTTCAACCGCCTACTCGTACGACCATCGTGTATTGTGATAATTTTAGGGCGGTATATTTATCGTCAAATCTTGTACATCATCAACGAACCAAGAATATCGAGATTGATATTCATTTTTTTGTGACAAAGTGGTATCGGGACAGATTCGCGTTCTTCATGTACCTTCGTCCTCTCAATTCGTTGATATCTTTGTAAAGGGACTACCAACTTCGGTGTTTATTGAATTTCGTTCCATCTTGAACATCCGAGAGCCTCCCGTTCAAACTACGGGGGTTGTTAGTGTGTATATTGTATTATGTCATTATGGTGTAGCCCATTTTGTATCTATTTGTATGTATGTATGTATGTATGTATGTATGTATGTATGTATATATATATATATATATATATATATATATATATATATATATATATATATATATAAAAGATGATTTGGTCATGGGAAAATAATTTGTTATCATATTAGCCCTTAATTATCTTGATTAATTCGTAGTTGTATATGAATTTACTTATTTATTTCCAAAGATCTGAATCTAAAATCTAAACTTATCATAAAGCCGTATGATTCAAACTTTTGAGGCAATTTAGGTAGCAACATAAAATGGACATGACAGCGTAACGATGACTAGAGTTATTACTTTTCTTCCCCAAAATCACTTCATATATATGTTGTTTAATTGTCAGTGTCTGTCATATAAGATTCCAACATTCTTCACACATATTATACTAAGCAAATTTTGAATAGCATTACTCGATTTAAAACATGCATGGGTATTCCCATGCACCTGCAATTTGCAGTAGTAACAGGAATACTTTCATGGATGAAAGTCAAAAACCATCATACTTTTATATGGTCAATGAAAATATATAGTCTGATATATATGTGAAAATGAAATCCCTTACGTACATCGTAACTACAATTCCCAACGAAAATCCTCTTCCGCCAAAACTTCTCAGTCTACAAACTATCAAATATTGTTCGATTCTCGATCATCGGAACTTATGAACCAGAAATCGTACTCTAACACCCTTTAACGGCAACAACTACGCCACCGTCGCGAAAAACGTCAGGCGCTATGAAGCATTTCGACATAAAAAACACCATTAAACAGCTCTCTGATGCCGATGGAAGTATTTTGTTAGTTTATATATAGAGAGAGGAGAAGACAAGATTTCCTAGTATCTTTGATTAGATTGAATGAATCGTAAAAGTTAAAAGATATTATAATACAAACTCCTAAAGTTTAAGGTCTTTTACAAGATAGCCCCTGAACTCCATTATTTTAAAACGGAAAATATGCATAAGTGCTTCTAATCTTCTATATTTTTGTTCTATTGATTAAAAAGTCACATCTGAAGTTTTTTTGTAATTTAACCATTGAAGTATAGGGTACATGCCGATTTTAAGGGTTAAATTGCAAATAATAATAATAATAATAATAATAATAATAATATAAAAATAAAAATAAAAAATAATCATAACTTTTTCGTTAATAAAATTAAAGTTTAAGGATTTTTCTGAAGATTTTCTTTTTTATATATACTAAATTTATTTGAAGAAAACTTACATTAATTATTAAAAAAAAACTCAAAATAAAGATATTTTTTTATTAAAAAACACACTAATGATAATTTATATATCATTTTTTGAATTTTTTGTGATTCTGATTAATAAAATTCATTATTCCAATCATAAAGATACCATCTATATCCTATATAACTTAAAAATGATTTTGTTGATTTGTCGCAAAAAGTGCATTTCTAAGCCTAATGTTACTTCATTGTTAAAATTTGAGGTCTTGGATGTAAAACGTTTACCATAAAACTACAACTTACCGAAGATTTTTTCACAATCGAACGACGACTCAGAAAATAAAGGCTTATCAAAGGTTGTTATTCCTAAATAGAGTTTCATTATATACACTATGTGGCCTAGAAACACACTCCTTACGACAAATCAACAAAAGTTTTATTAATTTAACTTAGCATATTTTTCTATAACTATTGTAGCTCTTGTATTAATATAAGGGGTCATCATCGTAAAAGCCTTCATATGTACATGAAATATGTGGTTCTGTCCTAAGTCCATTTTTATGTTCATTAATGTCTCATATTTGTCAAAAAAAATCATTTTAACCTTTTATCAAGTTTTGCACCCTCTTAGTCGGTCACCATTGTCGTAAAAACCCTCATATTTACACATCACCACCACTACACTCTTCTGATGAAAGCGTATAAGTGTAGCATTTTAGCCACCAAGGTCGCCCTTATATTTACATGAAAGCCCTCGGGTCACTGGCTACTTGATAAAAAACCCAAAATGACAAAATTTACCTAAATGTGAAGCATTAATGAACATAAATTTGGACTTAATACATAACCACACATTTAATGTAAATATGAGGCACTTATGTCAATAACCCTAATATAAGAGCTACAATAATTATAAAAACACATGTTAAATAAAATTAATACGACGTTTGCTGATTTGTTGTAAAAAGTATGTTTCTATGCCACATATATCATGAAGCTTTATTTAGGAATTGCATTTAGATGTTATCTTTATGATTGTAGTAATTATATTTATTAAAAAGAATCACAAAAAAAACCCTAAAAATGATATATAAATAATCATTATTGTGCTTTTTTAATAGAAAAATATTAGTTTTTTTTAGTGAAAGTGATATAGATGGTATCTTTATTTTATGTTTTTTAATAAATAAATATAAGTTTTCTTTAAATAATTTTAAAAATATAAAAAAAATAATATATATATATATATATATATATATATATATATATATATATATATATATATATATATATATCCAGGAAAGACTTTAAACTTTAACCTTATTAACAAAAAAAATCATCCATTATTTTTATTTATTTATATTTGTAATTTAACTTTTAAAACTGACGCTAACAAGGTACAAAAATTATTTTGTAAGTGTTTAAATTACAAAAACCACTTACAAAATAATTTTACCGGTAATTTAACTTTTACCGGTTAAATTACAAAAAAACAAAAACCATTGGGGACTTTTTTTTGCCAACAGAGCTAAAGTATATGAATTTTTATGCCGATTTCCCTTTTAAAACATATGAAATTATGTGATATATGATTTATACTGGTATTCTAACATGTCTGAGGTTAAAATATTGTGAGGAGTTTGTGTATTTTTTCGCTCTAGAATAAAATGTAATTTTAGTTTTAAATTATTCAAATAAGTATCTATGTATAGCCATATTCACAAAATTGACCATGATAAGAGGTAAGATGTAGCCACATGACCCTTATTTTCTCTTCTCCCAAAAAATAACCAACAAGCATATTAAAATATCACTTACATGGTCATGTTCATTTTAATGAATAATTTTTATGTATATTTATATTTCTTTTTGTTTGGATAGGGTATAATCACAAGCCAAAATTCTAGAAAATAGGTTGATGGTGCATGTTTTGTTAACAAAATAGATTCAGATTAAAGCATATAACATATCAAATTCATGTCAATCTATCAACAGTATTTTTTAATTTTATATAATAAATTAATAATGTAACAATACAAATACCATGTATCTCTATGAAAATGATGTTTGTTAACGGATGATTCACCATTTTCAAGCTTCACAAAACACACCATGTGAATCATTATATTTCGAACGTCAGATAAATCGTCTCCGAAATTATTCTATTTGAAACATCATATCTTAGAGATTGAATTTGAAAAGTATTTTGTTAATTTATTACCTTTTCAAAAAATTCTGTTTAAAAAGTATTTGAAAAAAAAGTATTTTTAAAACAACTTTTTATTATCCTTAGAAATGGGTTTTTAGAAAGTTAATACATTTCTAGCTTTTTCAAAATACTTATGACTTGTTCATCTAAAATAATTATATATTTATCCAAACACTTTTTTTGAAAATAGTTTATTAAAAATTATACCATATAAACTAATCTAAACATTAATAAAAGAAAATAAAAATAAAAAAAATATATAATAAAAATACCTCTTTTTCACCACATAAGCCAATAAACATTTTTATTCAAAAAAATATTTGAGTTGAATAAACAATCTTGAACCCTTAAAATGTACCTACTAAAGTGTAGTCAAATGGCCTCATTTTTGTAAATAGTTTTATATAGAATATAGATAATTACATGGTTTTATAATCATATATAATGCATTAAACTATTTATAAAATTCTAAACAAAGAGTTAAAGAATAATATTATTGTGTTTTAAAAATATATTTAATAAATATTTTGATCAAGCATATAATAAACAGTATCAACGTACCTATATGCATGTACTTGTCGCAAAGCTATAACTTTTCTTATTCAAAAGGGTCCATTGCAATGACAAGTTAAATTTTGTGTCAAGAGAATATATTCGAAATCTTTTTTGTACCATTTTTGCATTTTAACATAAACAAAATCTTATCACAAACGACATCAATGTCATTAATTGATCAACAAATGCACCAATCGATATTAGAATATAATAATTCACCTTTTCATAACTCAACTAAAACAGTAGCAGGAAGCCCTATAATGCATAGTAGATGATAGAGAGAATTCAGGTATGATGCAAATGATGAGGGAATATGAATGATTCATATTTCATAAAGGGGTGGGCATCATCATTCATCAGTAGACATCAGTCTTTTTTTCTTCTGTAAATGTGGTGGGGTCGCCAATCACCAAAGAGTCCATAAAAAGATGAAATTAGTCCAATGTACAACTTCTAATGCACAAGATACAAACTTTAGATGTTTAACAATTGCATATCATCAATCTTCAACACACTCTAAGCCTGACTTAAAAAGAAACATATTTAAAAACAGAATTACCGATTTCGTTGTTGATCCACAGCCATGGTCCGAATAAAGCTAGGCATGTCGAACCTGGGGCCCGCAACAGTCCGGTATATATAAAGCTTTTCAACGGGATAAGTATCCGGCATGGAGTCCAAGTCACCCCGTTCATCTATAACCTCAACATTAAGACGAGGCATCTTCTGACTCAGCAACTTACACGCTCCAAGACTAACCAAACACGAAGACATCCAAAGGGATCGCATTGTCTCCAACTTGGAAACATTCGCCAACAAAGCTTTATCCCCAAACGGGCAATCGCGTATCTCAAGCTTCCGAAGACTCTCACACCCAGACAACACATGATGCAGCCCTAAATCACTATCCCCAGCAAACGCGATAGACAGCATCTCCAGCTTCTTACCACGCGTCCCGATGTACTCAAACACACGGTCTGTTAAAAGACCCGATAACGAAAGCCTTTCAAGCCCTTTACAGTGTTCTACAATGGCTCCGAACCCTGTGTCGAGTGGTTCCAGTGTCAGGTAGTCCGGGGCCCGTGGCTCCAGGATGCATAACCGGAAGCAGGTTAGGTTAGGGCGGTTTCTAGCAATGGTGGTCAATGCAGAGTTTGTCATCTGCCGACAGAAGTAGAGAACAGATTGGAGGTTTGTGCAGCCTTGGGAAACCGCAACCAGACCTTCTTCTGTTAATGATACATTTGCATCAACAACAAACGGATCCGAAGGGAAAACTCTCAGTTCGCGTAACTCTTTACAGGACAACGAAAGGGCATTCAGTCCCGTGTCCTCGATGTAATCCAGCACCTGTTATCACATCGTTCATGAGAAAACAGAAATTATCATAATTATCAAAAGAAAGAACAAGAACAAGACTTTACTTACCCATAGACGTTGGAGATTAGGACACTGGGTGACAATCTTGGTGATCTCAGGGCTTTGGATGGTGGCATAACTTAAGTTTAAGGAAGTGAGTCGAGAACAAACGGGATAAAAAGCTGGGAGATAAGAGGGGACCACGTCCCAAAATCCGGAAAGTTCATTAAGATTCTTGCATTTTGAGAAGGCGTCGAGTAAATTTGAATAGAGATCGGATCCGGGTTCAGCAGAATAGGCACCTGTGCCCATTTGGAGAAGCTGTGGGGCCCGGCGGAGGAGGGTGGAGAGCTTTTCCAGAGGGACAGTGCGATTGAGTCTGAGAGTCTTGAGGTTGGGGGAGCGGGTGACGAGGCGTTGGAGAGCTGAGAAGCTTACTTCAGAACCTAAGCAAGCCATGTTCAGAGACTCTAAGCTCGTGCAGGTCTCAGGGAAATGGCTTAGCCAATGCCCGCTTACATCTTCCACCTCGCTCTCACGCAAATCCAATTCTTTCAGGTTTCTACAATTGCAAAATACAAAAGAAATGTGTTAATAATACAAATTCTTGTTTGCAAATGTGATTAGCATCAAATAAACAGCAAGCAAGCAAGGCAAGGCAAGGCAAGGCCCAAGTGATTACACAGAGAATCTAGGGAAAGCATAATATCAGATGTTTGTGGTTGGCTCCATGAATTAGGAGTTGAAGAAGATTAAAAGTAAGGTAGGCAAATCAGAGGCAGATGCAAAAGAGTTTGACACTGTTTTTCTAAATTCTAAAGAAGAAATGAGGACAAAAGCAACTTACAATTTAGCAAACAGTAGATTATAGTGACTGCATTTGTCTAATTATGGCCCTAGAGATCCAAATCTCTCGTATACAGTTTCGCTAATTTTTTAAAACTGGAACAAACTATACTCGAAATCTAAAGTTCCATTCAGAAAAAAAAAAAAAAAAAAAAAAAAAAAAGAGAAATTTCACCTGCAATGGGCGGCAATGGCAGCAAGTCCATCGGTGCTGAAACCCTCACAAGAAGACAAAATCAAAACTTTAAAGTTCTTAAAAGACTTGGAGATCAACTCCAAACCCTCATCTGTGACCACCATCCGTTTAAGCTTAATCTCCTCCAACCACGGGTAAGCCCTAGACATTTCAGAGATCCAAGGGTAAAAATACCCTCCCCAACCATCCGGCACCAAATTGAAGTCAGCAAAATGCGGTTTCCCTTTCAACTCCACGGATCTCACCTCCGGAAACCTCCTGATCATCATCTTCGGACTCACAGCGTAACAGTTCCCGATGAAAATACTCCTCCGGCACCATCTCTCGATCTCATACCACGACTTGCACACCAATGAAACGACATTCCTGTCTTTATGTGAAGTTATGAACGAAAACACATGCTCCAGCACCTCCTCCGGAAACGAATGCCCCATTTTACAACACCACCTACGGACGTAGAACAAGTTATATATATACAACCAGATACTTTTCCAATCTACACTTCGCCGTCAGATCTTAGCATACGGCACCATTAAAGATACCAGATCGAAGCTATATTCAGTTGCAGAGAGAGATTGTTGTATGACGTGATTGATTGGTGTGATTAAAATGTACCTGGGGTTATATAACGTGTATGTGATGGTGGTGGTGGTGGGTACGGCAACAGATCAACGGTTCAGAATCCGACAGGTGTGGATTAGGGTATTTTAGACCGTTGGATGGAGGGAGGTATTTTCATGGTGGTCAAGGTAGTCTTATCCTCTCGCGACGAAGCGCAGCCGCTGAAAACGGGTTTTGTGTATACGGGCGGGGAAGTGTTTTGTGTTTGTACTGTACTCCTACTGTTCTTTGACCTACTACTTTGTCTTAATTTCAACTACGGCCTTCACTTTCTAAACGTTATAGTTTTACCCCCTTTCTTTTGATTCATGCCATAGAATGACCGTAAAATAGTGGTAACCTAAATTTTGCAACATACGCAATGCATCGGAAAACCTTTAGAACGTGCCCAACTTTGAGGATCAATTAGACCTAAGATAACATCAATGTAGAGAGGTTGTTATACTAAGTTAACATGTTTATTAATGAATTTTGATAAAAGTTAGTGAGATGTTAGTTAGTTTTAGAGCAAGAAAAGTCTTTTAATTAGCGTTTTTGGTTTTATTTTATTTTTTAAGTGACTATAAGAAAAAAAATAGTGCAACCATGAGCCTACCAATAAATAAAATAGTTAAGAATAAATGAAAAACTTAAAGAATTGACTCATGAGACGTAACAAATACATAGTCAGTCAATTGGTAAAGATAAGTTAGGCGACATCTTTGAACTTCTAAATGCCTAAGGGCACATAATTAACAGTTTTTAAGGGCTCCATGGAGTGGAGACTTTAAAGAGATTAAGGTTGGGTGGGTGTGAGTGGTGGAGTCTGTAATATATTAATAATTAAATAATTAGGAATAAATAATTTGTTAATAAAAAAATAAAAGATAATTTAAAAGGGAAAAAATCATTTTACATTGAATAGAAACAAGCAAAACGAGATTTTTAAAGTTGCGAATGTAGCCCCTCTTCATACCCTGCACCCGACCCTCCCGTTAACATTATCTATGGTTTTTTATTTCGAGTTTCCTTCTCTTGAACCTTCAACAACTATCCTCTAGCCACATATTCTACTTTTCAACATCTTCTTCGATTTATGAGTAGGACAGACATGGAAACCAAACATGGCTTCACTTACACTCCAACAATAAGCATCTATTTTTTTCCAAAATGAAATATAATAGAAAAAAAAAGTTTTTTGTTCACCGAGAATTAGGAAGTAGAAGGTTCTTAGGAAATCGCATCAGAATTCCAAGTTTATTTCCATATTTAATCGAATTACAAAGATACTTATCGAGTACCTCCCCTTTCAAACAAATTAAGCAATGGTGATTTTAGTGTCACCAAGACATTTTAGTGGATTGTAATTTACAAGATTACCAACAAATTTCAAATTGTAACACCCCAAATTTTTCAAACTTTTTCAAAGCTATGGTTATAAAATATTTTCGGGTATTAACCCACATTTAACAAAAACCGGTCCCACAAAACATTTATGATTTAAAACATTGGGTGTTACCGTTAAACATCATACAAATCATTGCAAGCAAATAAGAATTACATCAATATAATACATAAGGAACTTAACAAGTTCCACTCCATTCTTTATCTCATAACTTCTACATCCATCTATCATCTTTCTCCTTGAATATGACATGGGATACATGGCATTAAAAATAATTATGTAAGACAAAAATGTCCCGTGAGTTACATGGGTTTGTGACCAAAAACATTTCAAGCATTTATATGAAAAATCATTTCATTCATAACATAACACAATTTTAGACCATAAAACATTTTCAAACATTTTCAAGGTAACTCTTTTCATACACATCAAAAATATCATTTCATATCATATCATTTCATATCTTACCATTTCATATCTTATCATATCATTTCATTTAATCATTTTCCATTTTTATTTCCATTTCCATTTCCATTTTTCGTTTCCAAGACCAATGTGGAAAGAACAAATAATTCCACCAAGGCATCATGCTTTCAAAGGCTAAGGTGAAAATAACAAAATCAATTCGCCAAGATATTATTCCCTTGGATTTCTATCCAAGTCCAGTGCCAAGGTGAAAAGAAAAAATTGATCCACCAAGGTATCATGATGATCAGGTCATCTACTCCGCGAAAGGAATGTACCACCCCAGTAGATTCCTCCAGTGCCTCTTATGATGTATCATGGCCTGGGCAATTTTCATTATTTCTTTACTTTATTTCCTTTTTTATTACTTTCCATTTTCTTTTTCATTACTTTCCATTTCTTGTCATCACTTTCCATGATTTACACATTTCATATGTTAGTATTAAAATACCCATTTCCAAAATTAAAGCATCTATATTTCAAAACCTTTCAAATACTTTATCAAAACATTCGCTCTTCCAAAACGTTCTTTGTTTTCAAAAACATTCTTGCCTTCAAGGCATTCATTCAAAACAATCTTTCGAAAAACATTTAACACTTTCTTTTCAAACATTTCATATACCAAAGAATTTTCATTATAATAAAAATCATTTTTCCATGTACCCCAAGGTGGGAAAATGTCAACACGTACTCACCTCAACCACACGTAGGCTAGCTAGTCTTCTTCTAGTTCTTTTCCTTTGAGCAACACTCTCAAACACCACCTATACGACAAGTATATAAAGGTCAATCAAAATGACCAAAATATCCCTCAAAGGTTCTATTACTAAATTTTATTAATTCATCTCATTTCTTATGAAAAACTATGAACGTAGGCGAAAATCGTGCGTAAATCTGAGTCCGTATGCAAAAGTTATGAGAAAAGTAAGATGGCCCTTAACAGGGTGGAACACATGCCATGTTGATTTAAGCTAAAATAACACGGGCCGTGTTCACGTGGCTGTACCATTTCTAAATTCGTTTTTTTCGCAAAATAACACTCTACTTTGCATAGTTCTTGAAGACCCTTTTCAAAGTCACTTTGCACCAATTGTATAGGTTCTCACACATGATTAAGATGTATTTTATCATCTTAAAACACTCTACTTAATCCATTAAGTGCTCATTGAACTCATTAAGATCATGATGATCTTCAAGTGTTTAAAAGAAGTGTAAACTAGACCATTTTGGACTTGAACATTCCAAAGTCCACAAAACTTGTTCCCAACTTATTGAATACGCATATGAAAGTTGTCAAGTGCATAAAACCATAACTAATCTCATTGTAAATACCTAATCTAACTATGGAATCCTCAATTCCATTCCATGTTCCCAAATTCCCCTTATGGCCAACAACTACATATTTCAATCTCACAATCAAGTAATACAATATGTTTTGAGTCCAATCCTTTCTAAAAAGTATATGTTCATGCTTATAAACTTTATTTACTCATCTATTGTTTAACTGCGAAGGATTATATGGTTTCCATCATAATGTTCCCAATTCCATTCCAATTCAAGCTTGTTCATGATTCTACCATCATGGATGAGTTTGATCATTCCCATTAGGTTTCTTGTTGTCAAATTTCATCTAGGTCATTGAATCCATTCCAATCTAACATATAAACATGAAATCCCTAAATTGAATTTCTAGGGTTAATGAGGGTTTTCACCCAAATCCTTAAATCCATCAATGGGGTGATTGGATTGATATTGGGATCATCAAAACAATTTAAGGGATGTTAGAAAACCAAACCCTAATCCTCAAATGATATGAAAATCGTATATAACTCCCAATCCGTATATGAAATTCAAATTCTACAATAAGGAAGGAAGAAAGTATACCTTAAACTACTTGATTTCTTCACAACTTGCACCAAATGAACCTAGAAAGCTTGAAATCGAATCCTATAGTTTTTATTATGCTTGAATCGCCATTTCACAGCTTTCCTTATCCCCTCATCGATCTCATATGGCTGAAATGAAGAGGGTGCACTCTTATTTTCAGATTTTTCACATTTATCTAAAATTTTGACATAACAAGTCCTCCTCCGTCCATTATATGAATTTGGTTGTTCTTTCCACTAACTAAGTCACCCTTTGGTCAACCAATTTGTCAATTTGACACTTTTAGCCCTTAAACTTTTAAAATTTTATTATTTTCACTTCTAACTTTCTAAACTTCATATAAACTTATGTTTTGATTATTCTTTAATGATTTAACTATATAAATCATTTTCATTTGTTTACTTCATTAATTTAAGATGCAGGTCTTAAATTTTAGGATGTTAGAATATTTTTGATTTTGTATTAGTTGGGAGGTGAGAAATGCACACTTCACTACTACAAAAACACCCTTTTACAAACACGCAAATGCATGTCAAGGAAGGCCCTGTCATAACGAAATACGACATGCTTTTGCGTATCTTCTATTTACGACACGCATTTACGACGCACATTTATGACACGCGTTTACGACGTTCCTTTATGACACGCAATGTCGATCGATTGTAGACAGTGTTGTAAAACTCGCTAAGTTGGCCGATTACTCGGACGAGTACTCCCTACTCGGCCCCTTACCAAGGCGAGTTACAGAATCCGGGTACTCCCCAATTGGACCCTTACTGAAGTGGGCAGTGTTGTAAAACTCGACCAACTCGATGATTATTATGTATAATATACTTAATGATTTATTATTTAAGACACACATATGTGATGATTACTATATATATGTCTTAAATTTTTAGTAATTGTTCACGAAGTGAGACCATTGTGTGTTTTTTAATTTTTGTGTATTTACATGTATTTAATTTTGTTATATAATTCAATCAACTTATGGTTTTAACATATGATTTTCACATATATAATTTCCCTAAAAATATTTCTACATGAATTACCAAATCCGAGTACTCCCCGAGTACTTCTGAGTACTCCCGAGTACTCGCTACTTAGTATTCGGCCGAACAGGTACCGAGTAGCGAGTTCTACAACCATGATTGTAAAGAGTGTAGTCACTGATGATCAGTGAGTGTTTAGATTTTTGTTTAAAAATCCCTAGGATATTTTAGTAGTACCTTGATTTTTGTAACAAGAGATGCGTGCGTTTCATTAAAATTATAAGGCGGCGGTTATAGAGGACGCACGTTTATGATAAAGTGCCCTCCGTGTTTTTTTTTTGAGACACTAATTTAAAGGCACGCAATAATGCGTGACCTAAATCCTTAAATTTTTTGAAGAGATGACATTATTTTTGATGGGTTTGAGCCAAAAGAACATCCTATGTGCTCATGCAAACCCT